ATAAGTTTCCAAAAAAATTTCCTCCTTTGTCGATTCATGTCCAATGAAAGTGTTGAGAGAAGAGAGAGAGAGAAAGAAAGAAAGTTAGAGAGAAGAAATTCTGGGATTAATTCTTAGTGGAACGAGAAACGTCAAAAGTTTGTGACGTATCTTCCTAAGGTGGACTGCCATCACGGTGGAGGACGATGTTCATTAATTAGCTGGAGGCGCAATCTTCGGCTCATCTAGGGATTTTATTCGATTCATGGAGGACTGACCTCGTTTACGTCGTGAACTTGGTCGAGAAATTGGTTTTTGATCTTTTAAGGCTTCGCTTTTGGATCTCGTGTAGGCATACTTTGATTTTTCTTCGTCCTTCGCTTTAATTTTTTCCTTGGTATTGTATTGATTTAAGAAGAAAATTTATAAATTTTATTATTGGAAAGAAAATTGAAATATTGGAAAGTTTGAAAAAAATCTGGAATACATATTAATCACTCTACTTAGATTATACAATAATTCGTTAAATCAAATATTTAAATCTTGTTTCAATAAAAATTATAAATCTATTATCTACAAAGTAATAAATAAGGGTAAAATTTGATTGGAATTATTAATGATTTGTTTAAAGAATTTTCGATTAAATCCTCTTTGTAATTACTAAAATCATTATTTCTTTGTAGGTTCATATTACTTCACTATGTATGCAATTTTAAATAAAATATATTAATTATTTTATTCTTTGAAGATTATATAGAGAGAATATTCATTATGAATTTGTTATATATTTCTATAATATATTTAACTTCATTAAACTTCATTAAAATATAACAGTTTTACATTTCGAACCATTCATTTTTAATAAAAAATTTTTCTTCCAACTGTTCGAATAAATTTTATTGTCAAAAATTGTCCTTAAATAATATTTTCATAACATTTTTATTACGTTTAAATAATAAAATAATAATAAAACTGTACCACGTTGAAATATATAAATGATAAATGATTTAAAAAAACTGCAGAGAAAACAATTTTAAATAATCGCGTGCTACGTCTGACCACATACAGTTCATTTCCCTTCATATTATTTTCTACTCGCGCGAACCCGCGCATATATCTTTCCTTACTCCAATTAAGCAGTCAAAATATTCAGAAAAAATTACCAAATAACCGATATTTCAAAATTTGTTTAAATTTTCCAAGGAAAAAAAAGCAACAAACTTAAAGAAATTTAATTCAACTCAATATAGAAATAATTCTTATATTGTAATATTAATAATAAACGATAAATCAAACTCTTAAATTAAAAGAAACATTAATACTACTATTATTAGAAAAAAGACGAAAGTAAAGGAAGAAAGAAATCATCTCTTCAATTCGAACAATTCGTAACCCTTTAACCAGTAGAACAAACCATGTCAACCGTATCGTCAGAAAATCTCTTTTCCAGAAACTAATTAACCTTCGAATAACCCTTGAATAAACATTCCTCGCGATAAAGTTCCTCGACGCGTCTGGTTTCCTGTCGAGGAAAATAGTAATGGTTTCTCGAGTCGATATCGTGCCCGTATTCATACAGCGACGCGACAATGAATCGCTTTAGCGAACCGTGGCCAATTTTACGCCAAGATTTTCACTTTTCACGCCGAGATACCCGTCGCGAAAGAGAGAACGAGCACGAGTTCTCGGTTGATCGGGTAACGTGATCGAGAATTATTTATTTCGTTATATTCCTCCGTCTCGTAAGGATAAACTTTTTGGCACGTTCTACTGTGGCGGTGTTACGTTACACGACCTCGACTTCGTAATTCTGCGATTTTTGCAATTTTTACGAAACGCAAATTTGTACAGGAATATTTCACATGGGTGTAAATATTTATATTTTTATATATACAGTTTTTTTATTTATATAGTTTATCATTTATATAGTTCTTCATTGCAACAATGAAAAATGACTTGATTATTTTGAAAAAGTTTTTTTTTTCACGATTTTTGCAATTTTGCGAAGTGTAAATTACTTGGATTTTAAAAACAGATATTTATAGCTAAAACGAAGAAAAAAAATAGAAATTTAAAGGATATATTGAATATATTTGTAATATTTGAAATTAAAATTTTGATCAGTTTAAAAATTGGAATTTTTCTAAAAATTCTAGTTTCACAAGTAGAGTACCGGTTCAATTTCAGAAACACAATAACAGTTCAATTTCCTGTATATCATTCCTGTTGTCGTTTTAACCATAAATATTGATAAATATTTAACTATAAATATTCTGAAATATTCGATAGTAAAAATATGAAGGATCGATATGCCCAAATATTCGAAATTCACAGAGAAAGTTATATTTCACGATATCATCAACGTCTCAATATCATTATCTCGTTTCAAATGTATTCCATTAAAGCTCACAAAAGCCAAAAGATACAAAAAATTACTTTCTCGTCCCTGTCGTATAATTTTATCTGCAAAAAATTCCATAACTTTTTTAACAGGTTAAAAAATTTATTATCATTTGAAACATTCGTATCATCTCTCATATATTAAAAATATTTAAAAATATAGTAAAAATTCAAATGGATGAATGAAAATATATGAAAATCTTCTTATGTGATACTTACATACATATTATTTTAATTCCAGTTAAACTTTAAATATTTTTAAATGAATTTTATTTTTTTCTCCTGTTCAAAAATTCAAATTTCTGACAACAATTTCATTTATTTTTAATACCACTTCTTCAAATTTTCAACAATCCATTTACCATTCTTTTCATTAATGCAAACATGTATATTGTTTTAAATATATATAGAAAGAAAGAATAATTGCTTTGATATTTTTTTGAAATTTTAGTAAAATTATCTTAAGAAATTGAAAAAACATTAACAGATTAAAATAAAATATAAAATGTGAGCAATCGAATTTTCAATATTTTTTAAATAACATCGTTTTAAGTAACGTATACTCAATTCCCTTGCTCTCTGCCAGAAAAGCACTTATCAAAGCACTTATTAAGACCATCGCCTCGAACAGTGAACGAACAGACACAATTCCATACACCTGCAACAGCTATTTACGCACGTGCTTTCTGTTTCCATGTTCGATTACTTCCTCTCTGGGTTTTTATGTATTTGCTCTAGAATTATTCTAGAGAACTGCAACGTGCTTGGTTTTCTGGAGAATTTCGCCATGAAAATTACCAAGAAATTGCATACAGATTCAATCTGTCGATCGATTAATTTCGGTTTGGGTGAAAATCAAAGAAGTGAAAATAAAATTTGATATTATATCGAATTTCTTATATATATATATATATAGATAAACGTATTTAGATTATGATTTTATTAAATGATTTATAGTATGAATAAAGATTATGGTATGTATATTTGTATAATTAAAAATTTTTTGTCTTTTTTGTAATATATTTTTTTTTCTTATATTCTTAACATTATTTTAAAATATTATCTTTAAAAAATTCCAATATAGATAGAAATAATGTTTTCTTTAAATGTAAATATTCATCGTTATGACTAGTTGTAGAATCAATCTTTTAAAGAATTCATATTTGCACATCGTAAAACTAAGTCCATGTTCATGGCTGTAATTGGCCAAGCAATAAATTATTATATGTGATACGTATTCAAAAAGACGTACTTCGTCATTTAAGAATTTAATGACCACTGCTGGCGAACCATTTCTTCCCCGATTCATGTCCACCCTTCTTTCCATATTTTCTATCATGTTGATGATGACTGTTGTGACCTTCATCGAGCTTTCGACCTTTTTGCTTACGATGATGATGGCCCTCCTCGTGATGCTTCTTTTTACCATGATGATGCTGATGTACCAATTAATATTAAATTTAAAGAATTATCTATTTTAAATTATTTATAAAATATTTTATGAAAATTCAAGAAAGAAATTTTTGAAGTGTTGATAAAATGTTTGTAAAATTTATACGAGTTGACAAACCTCGCGTCGAGCAGAATCTCTGTGTCCCTTCTTCTCGTGTCCACCTTTCTTGCCCTCGTGCTCGTGATGATATCCGCCATGTTTCTCATGTTCCCCATCCTCGTGATATTCGTCGTAAAAATCGTGCTTCTTTTCATATTCATCCTGTATAATATATATATATTTATTTATTTATTCTGTTTCACAATTTTTTAATTAAATTCTCTAAATTCATCTTTAAAAAAATTGAATTTTTGTGATGCATAAATTTTTACACGACAAGAAGAAGAGTTTATTAAAAATTTGTATCGAAAATTATTTAAATTAAATTAATGATTTTTTATATGAACCTTTTTAAAGACACTATGCTCTCCTTTGGTGCTGTAACCTTTCTGATGTTTACCCTCTTCGTCGAATTTTGCACCTTTGTCGCCTTCCTCGTCCTGGTGACTTTCATCGTAGTGATCTTCCTCTTCGTGTTTCTTCTCTTTTTCCCCCTTCTTCTCGTCGTACACTTTCTTGTGATCCTCTTTGTCGTGATGACCCTTCTCACCTTTGTCGAACTCGTGGAAGACTTTGTAACCCTGTTTCCGGATATATGCATGTAGATACATAAAAATTATATTCATGAAATAATAGAAAATTAATAAAAGAAGAATATTTTATTTTCCTGTCAAAATAATCTATTCCAATGTCGTTTCTTTCTTCTATTTTTTCCTATTACTTCCCATTCCTTTCTTTTACTATTTATTTATACTGTTATACTACTTCTTCTACTATATTATACATTTGTCACATATCTTCTATTCCATTCCTTCATTTTTTTTTATCTTATTATTTTCTAAAGATATACAAAAATACTATTATCAAAGTAAGAAAATTTACTAAAAAAGCTAATCTTTATTACTCAAGACTTCGCCATCGTAAGACATTTTATTTATATAAAATCGGATTCACGAAGAATTTTCTGTTTTACGACAATATCGAGGGAATTTCGGACAAGTAACGAGTTCGTTGACGAATTAATTGCTGAAAATAAACGCGAGAAGTAATATCGGGGGTGGCCTTACAAAAAGAGCGAAGGATATCGTCGTGTCGTTACCTAAAAATATTTTCTCGGTGAAGAAAGAAGCGTCGTTCGACCGCTGCAAGGATATCGTTCGAGCAACAATGACCATATAATAAATAATCCCTCGAAAACGTTGGGTGGACAGTAATATTAAGGGTGATAAAAAGGGAAAAGAGTCTTGGACGATGACGAGCGTGTGGCTGCAGAAGGCGAATAGTCTATTGCTGATGGAGAAATTTGTTACAGCTGTGTGCGATATTGCATCTGGATTTTGAATTAATTAATTAAGAACAGAATGATTATAGATGCAAGTTATGTTATTAAAAAATATAGATAATATTGATTCAATTATTATGATGGAACAAGAAGAGAATGTATTTAAAAAAAAATGATTTATCATAAATATTTTAACGTGTTGAAACTTCATAAAACTGTAAAATTTTTTTGGAAGAGACGATAGAATTTAATCATATCTATATTTTTATCATCTATGTAATACTTAATTTATCTATTTTTTGAAAAGTTACAAATTTTATTTAGCAATCTAATAAATTTTAAATAAATAAAAGCTTTTTAAAATTTATTTAAAAGATTATACTTCACATATGTTTTTTTCTCATTTCATTATATATAGAATAATTTCGCAAAGACTTGTATGAATATGCAATTAAGCGAAATAGATAGAATTTGATACAAGAGATTTGTTCGAACAATAAAGTTATATAATACCTTGTCACCCTTCTCCTCGTCGAAATTACGATGATCTTCCTGGTACTCTGAACCACCACCCTTCTCCTCGTGCTTTCCCCCACCTGTTTGAATTAATTAGCGAGTAAAGCTTTCCACTTCTTGCCAAAAGTTTCTGAAGGAATCCACCAACTCGATGAAAAGGTGGTGTTAATTGGGGTTATTAAGGTTTACCAAGCAACTGAGGACATTCCATTTTAGCATTAATTAAGTCTATCGTTTCTTGCATCGAGGAATGGGGTAATAGAAAGGTGAAAATGTGAACGAGAACAAGCCTTTGATCTCTCAAGTGTTTAAAGTATTACTTTGGAATTAACGTGGAAATGAAAAAAAAAAAAATAATAATAATAATAATAAAAGACTTTCTTTCGCATTATATTTTAAATACTTTAAATTCTTTTAGAGTACGTAAATTTTAAATTAATTTAAAAAATTATTATCTAAAATAATTCTGTTTATCATAGAAAAAATAATTGGATAATATTTTATAAATGTAAATCACTTTAATTATACTTTAATAAGTTAATTTATTAATCACTTTGCAAAACTTTAATCAAAAAAAAAAAAGAGATTGTTCGAAAGATACTCATCTCCATGCTCACTGGCAGCAGCCACGAGATCCTTCCTGTATCGGAAGTTCACAGGAACTTTCACCATCTTTTCATCACCAAACGATCCATCGACAAAAATCAAAAAGCTTGTCAAAACCATTAAAAATTTTGCACAAGTAATCGACACCATGCTAAATTATTTAAAATAATCGAACGAATATCACGAATCTTGAGAAAGGATTTTGTTATTCCATGATAGGAATGAAATTGAACACTGAAGATCGCCTCGATTCGAGACCACGGATTTATTCATGGCGTGGCTCCTTTTTCAAATCGTTTTTCTCTTCTCTCTCTATGCTCGACGATCACGTTTTTCTCACACGAAGAAAGTAGCCGCATCCGTGGAAAAAGATGCTTTCACTTCGCGATTGATTCGCTTGACACCGATTGCTTGTTAAGCGGAATCGGTTTATCGATTGTGAAGGTTCATCGACATGGGATATTCCTTTAAACGCTTTCCCTCGTGTGCGGTTTCTTCGATCAAAATCGAAGAGTTTCTTTATACCGTTTGAAAGGAGATTTTATTTTTATTTATTTTTTTTTATCCCTCTTTGTATCGCTCTTTGTTCGTCTGGAATAGTGGAGATTAATATTTTTTTTTGACAGGATTCATATATTTCATCCGTGTAACAAAAAATTATTCAGATATAAAGATATATATAGATATAAAGATTTGGATTTACAATTATCAAAATGAATGCGATTAGAAAGATTATATTGGTGAAACAGCGAAGTAAGGAAAAAATAAAGGGAGAATGTAAATAATAAAAATAAAGAATGAAATATAAAAATAAATCAGAAAGTTAAGGATTTCATATTCTCATGATTTTATACGATCGTTTTGAAATTTATACGAATAAGAAAATAGATATTATTGTAACATTTATACATTTATACGATGAATTCTAAATCATTTCTTTATCTTCACTCGTCTAACACTTAACGTGTTATTTTTGCGCCTGGAAAACGAGTTTCCAGACTATTGACATTCTGCACTTTCCTTCAGTTAGCACCACACGTCCATTTACTTTCCTTGTGTTTAACAATCCTCGAAAAACTTCTTTTTGTGTTGGATGATATAAGAACAACAATTATATAATATATAATTTTATAATACTTTTATAATACTTTTATATTAACTTGAACATAATTTACAAATTAAAAATTTATCAATATTTTCGTAATAATTTATATGAAAATATTATGAAATGATATAAAATAATACGGAAAATTAAAATTTTGTGCAAAATTTTTTTCGACAATGAAATAAAAAGGAACTGACTATACTTAAAAAAACGAAGTGTCGAATAAAAGATCCTAAAAGAAAATTTTAAACATAAAAATATAAGAAGAATTTCAAAGAAGGCAAAATTTTTAAAATTAAATATCGTAGAACAAAGCTTTAAACATACCATAAAAAATATCGAAAGAAGCGTAAAAAAAAAAGAGAAAAATTCCAAGAAATAATATTCCCTCGCGAAATACCTGTTGATATCCTTCAACTGCAACTAATCGCATCGTAACAACCATCGAGAATCCTTCGAGCAACATGATCGAAGAGTTTGTGAGCAGAAGTTGGAAATGGAGGAAGCTGAAATGGTCCACGATGGATCCATGATCGTTGAACACCCTCGTGGGTGCAAGCATTGTGCAAACGTCGACTGAAACGAGAGGAAGAGTGGATGGAAGCCGCAGTGTAAACAGCTGGCTGTCTCTTTTTCATCCCTTCGTTCCTCTCATAACTGGCGACCTGGTAAGTCTTAAGAGGGAACATTTTAATATTGGGCCCAGTTTAATGAATTTCGCAGTTGTAACTAGCCAGGTTGTACTGGATAATCGGTCTTAATATTGTTTGAATATTTTATCACTGCTTTGAGCTACTTTCTTCCAAGATGTTGGTCGTTTTATCGTCGAGTAAGAATTAATTAATTAATTCGAAAGATGGGATGGGGATGAAGAAGATGTAACGAGAAAAATTATTTAAAGAATTATTAAATTTTTGATGCTTTGTAATAAAAATTTGTAATCGACATTTTTCATTGTGGAAATTATTAATTCAGAAGAAGTTTGGAATTTTGGTAAATTTAAATAAAAGAAATTATTATGAGATTGTCTTGTTTTTGAGAATTTATTAGATTTTTAACTCTTTGAGAAGTGAAACAAAAGAAATGGCGTTGTTTCGAAATTGATTTTGAATTCTTGCATAGTTCAAAATCATATTGAAAAGTATTGAGAATATAGATCACCATTTTTCAAAGAATTTATCAATTATTATCGACATATGGTAGCAAACTTTCCTTGAAATATTGCAATTTATCTTTTATCGCGGACCAAGTTTCATTGAAGGTTAGATGGTTGGCGGTGAACAAATCGATTTGAAAGATTCACGAGTTAAGGATATCGTAACTTTTAGTGGCTATAAGAGAAAATAATCCTGGTAAGAGGAATCCTGTGTGAAAAGAATATCAAGGCCGATCTCGTTTCACAAATACAATGATGAAAAGCATTGAAATATGTCTAAAGAATTCCATTTTTTTGGAGGAGAGAGGAAAGATGAATTCGATCATATTAGAACTCGTTTGAAGATCTAAAAGTCAAGAGAAGTTATCGAAGATATCAATAACAATAGCGCTATGTTTTTTTTATACACGAAGAAATTTACGAAAATTTAATCAATTTATTCTTATCTTAAAAAAAAAACAATTTGAAATCAAATATAAACTATTCAAAATCCATATATGAACTTGTATAAAAATGTATATATACTTCGATACTTCTTTTGTTCAACAACTTCAATTAAACTTTCACTAAAGTCATCATCGTTCTTCACAGCATCTTATTCTTCCATATCAAATCTTCTCATCTCCTTTCTTCCAATTTCTTACATCTTAAATTATCATTTACCATCTTTATCATAATTTTAAAAAGAAATCAAAAAACGAGGACTCGTTTAAAATAAAGATAAAAAAAAAAATAAAGATATTTTAAGAAAAGGATAATCACACCACATTTCTTTTTCGCCGACGTTATTATACCGACCACTATTCACGAGACCTTTGACAGCGTCACGTAGCTAACGAGATATCGATAAGCAAATTAGTCTCGTATGCATCGCCTTAAGCAATCGAGTAAATAAACAGGGTCTCGGTTAATACTCATAATTCAATTTCCATCATCCGGTATATAAACGAAACCAGCACTCGACGCCATCGTTTGCCTGCAGACTTGGATAATTCTTCGTCACAAAGAGATTCCGATGCGAGA